TCAGCGTTTCTCAACCTGTGGGTTGCGACCCCTTTGGGATTAGAATTACCCTTTCACAGAGGTCGCCTGATTCACAGCAGTAGGAAAATTACAGTTAGAAGAAGCAATGAAAGTAATTTTATGGTTGGGGGTCACCACAACATGAGGGTCGTAGCATTAGGAAGGTTGAAAACCACTGTTCTCTATGAAATCCAGGATAGGCAAATCTTGAGAGACAGTAATGAAATTATGAGTTTTTTGGGCTTATGACAGTGGCAGTTGGGTGGATAGGAGATGCAAAAGTGAAGAAAATATTATAAAATTAACTGTGACGATTGCAGAAGTCTCTTTTGTGTATTTAAATCATTTAATTGTATGGTATGTGAATGATATGCAGAGAAAGACAGTTTAAGGAAAAAGATAGACTTGATGACCTGTGTCTGATCACAGCTTTCAAAAGCTTGTGGAGACGTTGTGCACTGCACACCCGGGGTGAGCAAGAGCTGGAATCAACTCAAAGGCAGGTAAGAAAGCAGTCAGAAGGATCATGAATGACATCATAGGAAGCAAGGAATACATCAAAACCATAGTCAGAACAATGTGCAAATACGTTTTCAGAAACACTCAGAAGATGAATTCCAAACAGTTGCTCATGTACTTGCAACACTTGGGACTGACCTCACACACTCACGTGGAGTCCAGACAGCCCACCTCAACCAGGCTCCCAGTAACACTGTGCTGCCATCCCAAGTTCTGGTCCCGCCCAGAGGCCTGCACCCACCAATGGTGAATGGACCTGACATCCGGGTCTTAATCCCTCCATATGCCACACCCTTCTTCCGAATCGGGTAGAGTGGTTGTAAACCACCCTAACCTCTAACCCCGAGGTATGACTGGTTCAAAATGTGGCATTGTGAATGCTGCTTCTGGAACGCAGCGGTCTGCAACATTCGGAACCAGCTGCCTCTGAGGACAGTGACCCTCCCTGCAGCCAACGCGGTCTAAAGCCTTCACTGCTGCGTCTTCAACTGGGCGATGGAGGTTGTAGCTACACCTCCATTTGATGAGGCCTATCTACAGGAGTGTGAGAATGCAATCAACCTGCAGATTGAATGGGATTTAAATGCCTCTTATACCTTTTTAACCATGTCTTCTCACTTCAAGCGAGAAGACGTGGGTCTGCTGAACTTCGCCAGCTATTTTCTACATCTATCGGTAAACGAACTAGAATATGTAGAAAATTTAATGACACTACAAGTCCAACGTGGCAGACAAATGCAGCTGGGAAACAACTTGAACTTTGAGGAGCAGGACTGGAACGACCCGTTATATGCCCTGGAGTACATATGTCAAGTAAAGCAGCACAGCTTAGTGAACCTCATGTTTCTTTACTCCTCAGCCACAGACCGGGGTGACCAGGAGCTGTCTGACTTCGTAAATATCCACCTTCTACAAAACCTGACCAAGGATATAATAGTGCTTCGCTACCACCTCACTCACTTGCTTTTTCTGCAAAGCGAGGACATCCCCCTTGCTGAATATAACTTCGGCTTCTTGGATGAAAACGACCAGGAATAATGCCGTCGTAGAAACAGACTGCCCACCCCCCGCCCCCCATGCTGCAGTCAAAACAGGTTCGTTTTGGGGCCTTTTCCCTTCCCCGTCCATTATCCCTTCCAATAAAATAATTTGGTTGCAGTTAAACAAAAGTCTCCTGGTCATTCTCCTGTTTGCAACACTCGGGACTTGAAGAACAGGGAAAATCCCTTTATAGGTGTCCAGGAGTGGACGTCCCAGCCAGCTAGGCCGCGAACTACTGCATCTCTGAATATCCATGGTTTGTAGAAGAGAAAGCATATTTCAGGAGGGCCTGGTAAATATAAAATGAATCTTCCCCTTTTGACTAAGTTGGAGTGGGGTGTGCAGGTCCATCCTTGGGGGCACTGAACAAGCATGTATGCGTTAAAATTAGAAAATTATCTAATGGAATTCATGATAGTTGTGGCCTGGGGGATGGCAGGGTGAAGGGGGTGCAATTGAAGTGAGATTAAAATAAAACTAAAACTCATGGGTGACGACACATAGTGCCCCTATAACAAGAGGGGAGAACTGCTCCTGTGAGGCCCTGAGGCTTCAAATCTGGGATTAGAAAGCCTCTGCCTTTCTCCTGCGGAGCCTCTGGTGGGTTCAAACTGCTGACCCTGTGGTGAGCAACCCAACGCTGACCACTATACCAGCAGGGCTCCTTGAGACAGAAATAAAGGTGACTTTAGCCTAACATGTTTTCACTAAAAATGTAAACATAGGGGTTATTCCCTTGTGAATGTTAGAAGAAGTGTTTCCCTCTGTACAGATTAAATTCTTAAATGATTGAGTCTTGTTTGCAGTGACCATGGGGTTGGTTATGGAATACCCAAAGAAATGTTTCAACAAGGCGATGAAACCCCTTAAGCAATCACTGGTCTATGCCCCGAAATTTGGAAAACAGCTACTTGGTCATCTGAATGGAAGTGATGCATCTTTGTACCCATTGCAAAGAAAGGTGACCCAAAAAAATGCTCCGTAATAGAAAAGTATCATTAATACCACACGCATGTAAACTTGTACTGAAGATCATCTACAGTTGCACCGGTACATTGATAGGGAATGGCTGTATGTTCAGGCTGGTTTCAGAAAAGGACATGCAACGGGGAATATCATTGCTTATATCAGACATATCTGAACTGAAACTTGAGAAAGTATTTACTTGTGTTTTATTGACTATTCCAAGGCTGTGTGGGTCATAAATAAATATGAATAACCTTGAGAATAATGCAAATTTCCAAACACTTCATTGTATTTATTGGAACTTGATCAAGAGGCAGTTGTGCACAAGGACAAGGGCATATTGTATGGTTTAAATCCGGAAAGGCAAACATCAGGGTCTTATCCTCTCACCATATTAATTCAGTCTACATGCTGAGCAAAAAAATCAGAGAAGTTGGCTTATATTAACAATGTGGCATCAGGATTGGGATAAAACTTATTTAAAACATGTTTTATGCAGATTACACAACATTGCTTGTTCAAAGTAAAGAGGACTTGAAGCTCTTGGTGAAGACCAAGGATTGCAGTCTTCAAAATGGATTACAACTCAATGTAAAGAAGGCCAAAATCCTCACAATCAGACCAATAGGTTACCTGAAGAAAAGGTTGAAGTTGTCGAGGATTTCATCTTGGTTGGGTCCACAATCAATCCTCATGGAAGTAGCAGTCAAGAGAGCAAAAGACCCATTGCATTAGGTAAATCTGCTGCACAAGACCTTTTTAGAGTATTGAAGAGAAAAGTTGTTAATTTGAGGACTAAGGAGTGCCTGTCCCAATCCATGGTGTTTTCAATTGCCTCAGAGGCTTGTGAATGTTGGGCATTGCATAAAGAAGACCAAAGAAGTACCGATGCATTTGAATTGTAGTGCTGGAGAAGAATCTTGAAAAGACAATGGATTACTGAAAGAACAAACTAATCTGTCTTGGAGGAAGTATGGCCAGAGTGTTCTTTGGAGGTAAGGATGGCAAGACTTCGTCTTAGAAATTCTGGTCATGTCAGGGGAAACCAGTTCTTGGAGAAGGACATCAAGTTTGGTAAAAATAAAAGGATCATGATAGAAAGGAAAACCCTCAAGGAGATGGATTGGCATTGTGGCTACAAAAATGGGCTCCAGCATGAGAAAAAAATGTGAGGAATAGGCAGAACTGGGTCATATGTTGTTCTATTGTCTGTAAGGTTACTATGGGTCAGAAGCGAGTGAGTGGGACCTAACAACAACACATGAGAGCAATTGCATTATGAGGTACACACATCTTAGGGTAATCAACCATTTGAGATCAAGGGTACAGCATTTGTCCAAGCACAAAGTTTAAAATGTTAGGAGAGAAGGAGGAGTGGAAAGGACTGAAAAAGGGAGAAGGTTGGATGAATAGTGGTGCACTGAGGGATTGTAAGGAATGAGTTGCAGCAATATGTGTATGAGATTTTGAATGTAAAAGAAATGATCTTCTCTGTAAATCTTTACTCACTGCACAATAAAAAATTTAAAATAAAAGCAAAACTTTGAAAAAATGTTCATGGAAAAATGGAATTAAAAGATAATGTATTTTTCCCACTAACTTTTTTACAACAGTTTTATTGGCACTTGATCCACAGATCACACAATTCAATAGTTTAATTATATCAAGAAACGTACAATCATTATCACAGTCAATTTTAGAACACTTTCTTTGTCTCCCCATAGTTAAATCACATTTTAAATGACTTGTGTAGTCACCATCAGTTCTAAAGCTCTCCCTCCACATACATAGTTTGCTCCCTCAACCTCCTCACCCTCCTGATCTCCCACCCCCCACTTCCCCATATAAAGCCTTGAATCAGTTCTTCTCTGTATGCATCTACTCCTTCTGTTCTTCACAAACTGGAAAAGCAAACAAAAATAGTTAAAAACAGAAACAAAACAAAGTAACAAGGATAAAATAATAATAATACAAAGATAAAAATACAAATAGTGAGTAAAAAAGTAAAGATCACCGCGAATATTAAAAAGCCAGCGAAGAAATTTTTGTCATTGAACTAGCAAGAAATACTTTCACCTAGAAGAATTTCAGGTTGGGTTCAGATGGAAGTCAACTAACCAAGTACCAAGTTGGATTGAGTATAATCACGGTTACTATGATCCCTATCTGATAGTAAGGCTGTTCGAGACCCTGGCTTATGGCTAGTGGGAATCTCCCAGCGGTTTAAGCTGCCTAGATACTTGACAGATGGGTTTTGCGTCATCACTGTCCTCCATAGTCTTCTATAAATTGGGTGCTCTGAATTTAAGATCTGATACTTTTCCCTTTGTCATATTTGAATTTTGTTATTGCTCTCTCTGGGTCACAGAAGTTGGTGTGCTTCTTCCATGTGGACTTAGTTGGCTCCTCCTTTAGGTGGCTACTTGTTTGAATACAAGACCCCAGACATTATTCTGATTGATAGCTGGACACCATCTGCTTTCTTTAGCACACTTTTCTGTAGCACCTTTACCTTCAGTGATCATTTCATGAATGTGAGTATACAGCAGGGCCATCTTATCAGAACTAAGTGTTCTTGGGTAGGGACTAAAGTTCAGTGGGACCCCAGAATCCATTTGCATGTTCCTGGGATATGCATGACTCAGGTTTACTTTAGCAGTCATATGATGACAAATTTAAAACCCCATAAGACCAACTACCCCAACAACAGCAACAAACCAACTAGCAGACAACAAAAGACAAACAAACAAGCAAAAAAATCAAACTAAAGGCAAAAAAACATAAACTCATAGAGGCAGAAAAATAAAATATTGTCAATCATCCCCTGGGGTACACGGTGATCGCACTTGTCATGCCATCAATTTTTCCAATGGCACATCACTCTAGACACTGTAGGTATGAGGTGTCGATGCAAGTACAGTTCCACCATGAATTGTTGCTCCACACAGTTTGATCTTTCATTCGATTGGCTCTGTTTACCCTATGCATGGGGGTTGGTGTCAAGCGGAAACGTTCTGGATCGGTTCTTCCAAGTTCAAATCCTTATACAACAGACCAAAGCCTGTTATGCTGCTGTGAAGGGGGCATTGGGATACTCAATATATGGTGATTCTGGATCCATTTCCATTGTAACCCACCAAACAGGGGGTTCACCCAATGGTCCAATGACTGCCACTTCCATAGGCCCAGGGTGGCCACTATCTGCTTCCTCTTCCATCTGAGTATCTCATTCCTCAGTCCAAGGGTGCAGGCACCTTTGAGGCAGGGCTCGGTTCATTCTGCTGTGCCTCTGTGTTAAGTCGTTCCCAATGTGAGGTTATTTCTCCCCAATCACTCACCATACTCACCAACAGAGCTATTAGTGTCTCCTCTGAAATATAGATGCTCCTCTCCCCTGCTCTTGGCTTGATTTTCCAGCTAGGTTCTCCTTCCCTTCCTGTGGGGGGTGTCCATTGATTTGTCCCAGCATTGTCTCGATGTTTTACAGGCTCAAGTGGATGGTCTCCTACCATCCACACCGTCCCCCTGAACCCTTGAAGGAGTGACCCCAGAACATGTGAGGTCTCCTTCTTCAAGATGGGTCTTGTGAGGTGTGTAAAAGGCAGGTGGTGTATGGTCCATGGCCAGTAGGTAGCCTTCTCCCATTCTGCTCACTAATTGGTCTCTAAGATGTGTTTAATTGGTGTTTCTTCTAATAGATGTGGACTCATGCAATACTTATCTTTTTGTGATTGACTTACTGCACTCAGCATAATGGTTTCTAGGTACTTCCATATCATGCAGTGTTTAATGCTTTCCTCACTGTTTTTTCAGGGATGCGTAGTGTTCCATTGTGTATGTACCACAGTTTCTTTATCCATTCTTCCACGGTTGGGCATTTGGACTGCTTCCAGTTTCTTGCTACCTCCACTTGTGTTGTGTTTCTTATTTCCTCAGGGTATATGATTAATAAGGGTATTGTTGGATCATATGGGATTTCAATTCTCAGTTGCTTTAAGTATCACCATATCATTTTTTACAGTGGCTGTACG